CTTTTACCGACTACAATACGGTAGGACCAGTGGACACCCAAAAATATTTTCCCACATTCGTCCGGCGATAAGCTCAAGATAGGGCAATTGGGCACAATGACTCCCTGCGCAGGTACCAACATAACACATAACTCTTTTAAAAAAAACTGACTCCTACCCCGACTCCCATGCTATTTACTACCCCCTAAAACAACCTTCCCAAGATTTCCACAAATTTCAAGAATTTATACATCCATGAAAACAAAGGTAAATATCATCATTCAAATAATTGAACTATTATGGAGATATAATCTTCATATTTCAAAGAAAAGCTTCCAAAGCTTTCAATTTCATGAATCTCAAGTAAAAAGAAGACATCACATTCTCATAATTCAATTATAAATTTAAAGAATTGAAAGTTAATTCCATTTAATTACATCATTAACGGGCGACGGAGGGCGATGGAGGAATAAAACTGGTTGTCAGAACAATTGCTGGCCTCCCACCCTTCTACGACCTTCCTAACAATGAAACAGAGGTCCCTGCCAAAAATGAACTCAAACCGATGCAAAATGGAGGTTCGAGGGCCGAAACGTGCAGCCTGAGGCCCCGAAAACTGACTGTTAGGCATCGAAAGTGGTGTTTGACCACGAAGTTGGTTTTTCGGACCGCAGTGTCCCTCAAAAGGGAGCAAATAAGATGCATGCCAAAAACCGGAGCAAACGGAGGTGGTTAAGCGGTCCCGAACCGAGGCACACGGCCAACGACTCTGAAAAAATCGAAAATCGGACTCCAAATGGGCAAAATGGCCTACGACCACGAAACGTAGCCTACGGCCACTGAGAGATGATCTACGAGACCTCTCCCTCCCTTCGGGAAGAGAAAACAGAGCCTGGTTCGTAAACCGAGGCAAAGCATGAAAGAGTCCGGAAGTCCGAAGGGAAGGCTCGCAGCCGAGACTCTGAAACCTCTGAACGAGCACGATATGCAACATCACCAAGCGCTCAATCAGTGACGTCTGAGTCTTAAGGTCGGTCAAAAATGGGGTGTCTACAGGACCACCGTTGTAATTTACATTTATTATTATTATTTGTGGTGTATATAGAATCAACTCAATTTGAAATTGTCCATTCCATCTAATATGTTAAAAATAGGTATCAATTGGATTAAATTCACACAACATAAAATATTAAAGGGCAAATAGATACAACTAAAACTATATAAATCAAATTGACACAAGAAAGAAATTATGAGAACCGCGATTGAGTATAATGTCCCTAATTATTATTATTTGTTAAGAATGTAATCTAACCTCAAATGATTATGAAATTATGAAATTAACCTTTCTTTTAGTGAAAATGAATGGCAAGCATTTTTTTTTAATTGAAAAAAAAATTAAAAAAAAAAGAAGCAAAACACTCCATCCAAAGGTGGAATCCAAATTAAATAAATGGGAGTTTGGTAAGTACATATCTGTTGATAAAGTATGACCAAACAAATACTATGACAAGAAAAGCAACACTGCTTACTTTTTTTATTTTTACAATCCGGACATGCATGCACTGAAATCCCCTATATAAATCCCCTCAAATCGCTTCAACTCCTCACCATCCAAACTCAAACTCACTCTCTCTCTCTCTCTCTCTCTCTCTCTCTCTCTCTCTTATGAAAATGGTGCTCCTTAGTTGTTGTCCTGTTATTACCATTCTCTTGGCCTTTTTCTATCAACCATTAGCAACTGCAGTTACATACAACCAAGTCTTTCCTGAGTGCATGGGACGCAGCTTGTGCCTCTGCAAACCCTACAACAATCTATGTCCCACCAGGAAGGTACTTGCTTCACAAAGCAAAGTTCTACGGTGAACAGTGCAAGAACACAGCCATCACAATCCGTATCGATGGCACTCTTGTTGCTCCCTCTGACTACCGCGCTATTGGAAATGGTGGAAGCTGGCTTATATTTGAGAAAGTCAGTGGGGTTTCCATCTTTGGAGGAACACTTGATGGCCAAGGGACTGGTTTGTGGGCTTGCAAAGCCTCTGGCAAGGCTTGCCCTACTGGAGCTACGGTATGTACTTTATATTATTGTGAAAGTTTATGAATTAAACTGCCATTAACCACCCTTTTCTTTGGTTAGCTTTTAGTTTAATCTATCTATGAGTTGACAATATTATGATTAGCTTCAATTGGCCAATGCTGTCTTTTCACTTTTCAAGCATAGGGTGCACCTAGTTTCCAAAAAAATGCAAAGCCTTCGCCAACTATTTTCCTCAGTGAGGTGGAAAGTTTCTTGGTAACCAAACATAAAATGGGAAGTTTTTATTTTTTATTTTCTTGAGAAGGAGAACAGTAAAATAAGGGTGGCCAAGTTTTGTGGGCAAGTGGGGTGGCAGTTAATAAACTGCTTTTAGAGTGCTTCACTTGCACTGTACGCCAGTGATGTTGATTTCTAGATCAAGTTTCATAACACACGCACACTCTTGGGGGGAAAACAAACAAACAGAATAATTATCAAGTTAAAAACTTTCAATATATCATAATCCCCTCCCTTGCATTACTTGGAATTGGAACTAATTAATGCTTTTTTGTGTGTGTGGTGCAGACACTGGCCTTGTACAATTCGAACGACATTGTAATTAATGGATTAACATCACTAAACAGTCAGATGTTCCACATTGCCATCGATGGCTGCCATAATGTGAAGGTGCAAGGAGTGAAGGTCTCGGCCTCAGGCAATAGCCCAAATACAGATGGTATTCACATTCAATTATCATCTGGAGTCACCATCTCCAACTCTAGGATAGCCACAGGAGACGATTGTGTCTCAATAGGCCCTGGCAGTACCAATTTATGGATCGAGAACGTTGCCTGTGGCCCTGGCCATGGGATCAGGTAACACATCAATATTTCTTGCTACTAATAAATATAAATACCAAAACATTGCATTCCATTTGTGGCTAAATTTTAATATATATGCATGATTGGTGCAGCATTGGAAGTCTAGGATGGGAATTGCAAGAACCTGGAGTGCAGAATGTGACAGTTAAAACGGTTACTTTCACGGGTACACAAAATGGTGTGAGGATAAAGACATGGGGTAGGCCCAGCAATGGTTTTGTTCGGGGCATTGTTTTTCAGAACCTCTTTATGGTCAATGTCCAAAATCCCATCATAATTGATCAAAATTACTGTCCTCACAATAACAATTGCCCTGGTCAGGTATTTAAATGCTATCTATAGCCATTAACCAATTCTCTTATTTATTACAATCTTTTTCCTCCTACAGAATTCTGGTGTGATTATTAGTGACGTGACATATCAAGACATCCATGGAACATCGGCGACAGCAGTTGCAGTTAAATTTGATTGTAGTAAAAAGTATGGATGCAAAGGGATAAGGTTGGAAGACGTTAATCTCACCTTCGGGAATCAACCAGCAGAAGCATCATGTGTCAATGTTGGAGGATCAACCTCTGGTTCAGTTGAACCAACAAGTTGTTTGTAGGACAATATGAAATTTATACACACATCATATGAATTAGCATCCATATTTTTAGTATTATTGTCAGTTTATTAGCTCCTGAAATTAGATAAGATCCAGATTTATACACACATCATATGTATAATATATTAGTCCATTCCCACTGAGCCTGCTACTGGCCTTGCAGAGCACTGTAGTCTAAACCCTTCATTGGGTAAACTGTTGTATTTTCAAATTCGTATAAGGAAAAGAATTACTGTTTGAATTAGTGTATTTATTTGTGTTGAGTATTTTGGCAGCAAATATCTGATCAAACAAAAGAAAAACAAAGCTAAAATAGGCAAAATCATATCTGAATTTTCTTCAGAAAAATAGAAGATGAAGAGGCAAAACAGAGGCACCGACTCTGAATTTTGAGCTTCTCTTAGAAGCTTTGTACATGAATTTAGAATCACATATTAAAAAAAAAAAAAAAAAAAACCCATGTGGACAAGCTATCCTCCACATAATCTAACTATAATCAACGCAAAACAAAACACAACCTTAACTGAATTAAACAAAACAAGTTGATCGTTTGGTAACACAATCTGTCACGACTCAACCCTATCCCTAGAGGTTTGAATTATAACCGGTTAGTAATCATGAGATTACCTACGACCTTAAACAGAAATTAAATCATATTTAATTATATGGGGTCAGAAGCAGAAGCAGAAGTATAAAATTTGTCCAATGAGCTTGTGCATAAATGGAATGAACAAAAACATCTTATAAATATTAATAACTCACACCCATACATACATAAAGGATCTCACATGTCCAAGATCATACAAATATCATAGTCATACAAGAACCATAACTTATATACAGACATAGTCAAACATGACCAACAAAAGAAAACAAAAGAAATCAAAAGACAAAAGCCTTGTGCGTGAGGCATTCTTGGCTAACTCCACAAAAACTTGGTATTCCTTCACAGGTTCACTAGGGCTAGACATCCCCGCTGCTCACCTACATATATATATATATATATATAATAGAGTGAGCGAAAACCCAGTGAAAAACATCAAAATAAATAGGCTATATGAATGCGTTTCACATCATAATAAAATCATTCTCTTAATAGTTTCATATCATAACGGAACGACCTCAAGCCCAATATATGACAAAACGACCTCGGGTCCAACATATACAGAGATACAAAGCAAAACAAATCATACTTGTCAGAACGACCTCGGATATAACAACATCGGTTCTATTCAATTATAGTTGTAAAATGACCATTGGGTCAACACATAACAGATATTCAGACTTACCAGATATACAAAGAATTAGATAATCGGAACGACCTTAGGTCCATCTCATCAAATATATAGAATGACCTCTGGTCCATTTCATTTGTACAGAACAACCTTAGGTCCATCATATGGTTTCATGCTTATCAATCACATTTACAGATCTTTCACGAATCAAATAGATAGAAGGCTCATTGATAACACAAAATCATAAGTTTAGAAAACGTACCACATTGGTATCATTTAGAAAATAAGATACATAGAAATATATTTCCTAAGATATTACTCATAATGATTTGGTTGCTGATATAGCTTCGCGAGTGAACCTACACAATTCATAACATACACACATGGAATCATATCGCTTATTTGAATCGTTCTTTAACTTATTCAATTCTCTTAGCTTCTTCCTAACTCTTTAATTCATTTAGGATGTTCAATACATGCCTAAGAGTGGTCAAAAAGTAATGAAAATGGAATTATGAACATAATATAGCTTTTCAAAATATGCTAAAATAGGGCACTTCGCTCAAGCGCAACATTGTTCGCTCGAGCGAACCACATGGTTTGCAAAAGTATTGGATGGTCCGAATTTAGGCTTAATGGTTGCTCGAGTGAAGGTGCAAAATAAAAGCCAGTCACTCGAGCAGTAACTCGGTTGCTCGAGCCAACTGCAAATGTCTGCAAAACTACTACATGCATGAGATATACACTCGAGCGACAACTTGTTCGCTCAAGCGATGGAGTCGAATTTTGGATTTTCTAGAACACAATTTGGACTCCAAAACACAAGTTCAATGTCAATAACCTTTCATGACATGTTCTAAAACACATGAGCGCCTTCAAAAACATGAATACAAAACCCAGTTTAGACCCTATGTTCAAAATTTTATGAATTCACCATGCATGACCCAATTGATTTCAAATTGTTTTCCAAAGCTTTAAAAACATGTCATTGAGTTCCAAAATGACATAATTCATGGATGTATGTATGATATAATCCTCAATTCAAACATAGACAACATAAACCATTCTTAAAATGATGAAGCTAACCAAAATTATGCATGCATTTGACTCTAAATTCATCATATTTAGCTCATTTCTTGTATTTGATCATATAATCCTCTTGAATTCACATCTTTGATGATTTAATCTCACAAATTAAGGTTCAAAAGCTTACCTAAGGTCTTCAATTACACTTGTATTAACCAATTCTTGAGTTCTTCTAGTCAATTCTTCAATCTCCAAAGCCAAAATCCAAGTTTTCTTGTTTCTCTGTCTATAACTTGCTCTCACTCTCTCTAGAATGAAATTTCAGAATTTTTGAGTGAATAATGAGTTAAATTCACATTTCATTCATATTTACAGACTAGATTAACTTAACACACTAATTAGGGATTAAGATAGTTAATTGAGCTTAAGGCTTAACCAAACAAAACTTAACTTAATTGATTTTATCTAATTAATTTAATCCGAATCAAATTTTAATCAAATTCCTCATAAGGCTCTAAATATTATGACATTCACATTAAACTAACCAATTTCGGTTTCTGATGCCATTAAGACTTTCAATTTCATATTATAACAGAAATCACAATAGATATTCCTACGATTAATAGATATGAATCTAAAATCATAGTAAACACACAATTAGCATTCAAATCCACAAGAAACACATAAGCACATTCAAAATTAAAGGATTAAAAGCATAATACATGACGGGGCTGTCGTAGTCTTCCCCACTTTAAGAAGTTTGGTCATCCAAACTTGTGTTATCTTGAGTCGGAAACAATTCGGGATACATTTGCCTCATTTCATATTCTTTCTCCCAAGTTGCCTCTGTTCTATAATGTTCTTTCCATTCCACCTTAACCATAGGGATCACCTTAGTTCTCAACTGTTTCACTTGTTAATCAATGATTTGTATTGGTCTTTCTTCATATTCCATATTATCGTCTAGAGCTATCCGATGATAATCAATAAGATAGAACGGATCTCAGAGATAACCCCTCAACATCAATACGTAGAACACATTATGCATTTGTTCCATCCCTGGCGGTAGAGCAATTCGGTATGAAACTGGACCTAGCCTTTTCAAAATTTGAAATGGCCTGATATATCGCGGTGACAACTTGCCCTTTTTCCCGAATCTTGACTGACCTTTCATCGGAATCACATCAATGAACACATGATCAACGGCTTCATACTCAAGAGCTCTTACGTGGCAAGATGATTCCTTTGATAAAAGTGTTGTGGCGACACCACAGGGTTGAGGAGGCCACTTGAGATCATGAAGCGGAAGTCCGTGAGAAGTATTTGGAACTATTTGTTGATGTTTGAGTATAGATTGAAAACTTTGTTATGTTAATGTAATATAAACATTGTATATGTTTTGGAAACGTAAATTGTGTATTCAGTGTTGAAAACTCGTTTATCATGTTGATGAAAATGGATGGCCTGTGGATGGGTCATGGTGATGAATTGGACTTATTATCATTGTTGTAATTGGTTAAAACATAGTTTTAATGTTTAGTTTGAAATTTTGGGGACCAAATTCCTCAAGAGGAGAAGATTATAACGATTCTAGTTTGAACTCAACCCATTTGATGTTTTGGATCTTCATGTCTTGTTTCCCCTTATCTCTCTTTGAGTTTGGCTTTTCGGATGTGTTGATTGCATTTGGAATAGGTTGGTAGCTTGTTTTTCAAACTTTTGTTGCCCAAAATTTTGTTCCTTCGGTCGAGCATCACTTCTTGCGGTCGAGCGGTCTTTGTGAAATCTTAGTATTTTTGTAGGTTTGAGAAGTGGTATTCTATGCTCGAACGATGCTTCTTGCGCTCGAGTGGCCGTTGTTGAGCTCGAGCGATGGTCTTCTATCTGTATAATTTCTGGGAGTTCGTATTCTGTACTCGAGCGAAGATTCTTGTGCTCCAGCGGCCACATCTTTTGTGTCTGGATGCTCGAGCGACATTTCTTGCGCTCAAGCGGTCTGCGCATATATCAGTCCGTAAAAGGCACTTTTTATATCACTTTTTCATCTCTCTCTCTCTCTCTCTTTGTGTGAATATTTCATAACCCTAAGTTGAGACTCTCTCTCTCTAAAACTCACATTCTCTCTGTAAGTACACCTAGATCCATTGAGTTCTTCACCCGTGTCCCTTTGTTAAAAAGGTAGAGCTCGGTGAGGGCTTCATTCTAATCGGAGCAAAGTTGATTTTTGGCTTCTTTGGGTTTCCTACTTTCTCTCTCTCTCTCTCTCTTTCATCTTCTAAAACTTAAGGTAGGCATGTCTCCACACTTTTTATGAGCTTTAACTTAGTTGCTTGTTACTTCTAAACAATATTGTGATTTTGGAAGATTTGGAACAAATCTAGGGTTTTGGGTTAAAGACCAAAAGAGAAGCTTTCTTATGGTTTCATGAAAATGGTTGTGGGGTTGGAAATGAGGTTGAGTTGTGGTGAAATAGTTAGTTTCGATATGTAGAATTGATTTTGATAAAAAAAAAAGGGATTTGCCCTAATTATGATAAATGTTTATTTTGTATAAATAATGAGATTGATATTGAAATTGTGAAATTGGATTGGTTTTGATGAGGATGGTGGAGTTGGGTATGTAATACCACTCATACTTTAGAATTTAGAAAGTTTATCTTTATGAAATATTATTTATCTGTTTAGAAATATTTGTTTTGGACTATCGATGGAGGATAGTTATGATTGTTGTAGAAATTGCATGAGAATTAGGGAAATTGAAACTGTTTTT